TTCTCGATGGATCTGACGATCATAGAATCCTCTCTAGAAGTGGTGGAACGCGGTCTTCCATCTTTGTTATCTGCTGCCAACTTCCCCGTAGAACGATATTTGGAACATAGTCTTGATACGGTCCATTTTTCACGCGATATTTATCACGAACACTTTTTTGTGACATTCCATTTACGTAATCGCCAATAATTTTCTTTCTTAGTTCCAATCCAAGACTGTTGGGAGCCATTTTTGCACTTGAAGTCATAAAAATAATTGGATGTGGGCTATATTGATGTAATGAAACACTTGTTGTATTTCACTTCTTGTATTGATGTTCTTTGATAAAACACTTTGATAAAACTTACTTCGATAAACTGTCTTGATAATACTGACTGATTGACTTCCATATACTGACTGAGTTACATCTCGGTTTACATGTCTCTTATATAGTAAAATGTTCTGAAAGATTTTAGATGCTTCTTTTTGATGCTTTTGGAAGCTTCTGGATGCGTCTGAATGCTTCTGAATGTTTCTAGATACTTCTGGATGCTTCTGGATGCTTCCAGATGCTTCTTCTGGAAATTCTGGAAGCTTCTGCATGCTTTTGGAAACTTCTGGAAACTTCTAGACACTTCCTTCAATTATTAAAAAACTTCCGTGACTTTGACACGGACCAGACTTAAAAAAATGAAACAAAACAAAAAAGTTGCACTTGTTTTGTCCGCTGCGAAATGGCGCTTGCCAAAGAAATTCTGCCTGTGTGCTGTCACCTGTCAGCTGATTGTAAATGTCATGGCATGCTATGACTCCAGACTCCTGAATTGTTTGCTGTGGTAGCATAGTTCGTTTCGTTTTTAAGACATGTAAAATTAGGAACACTTTTTAGCATTGTTCGATGTTGGTTGCAAACGTTTTGTCCGATACTGTATATATACGTTTATTAAACGTCGATCAAACGTTTACAATATTGATCAATATAAGTCGTTTTTCTAACCGTTTGATCGACGTTAAATAAACGTTTATTCTATTATAATATAGTAATATAGCCATTGGTCAGAAGACTCACATAACAGCTTTACAACAAAACGACTGATAAATAAATAATAAACAAGTGTCGGTTGCGCCATTTTAATTCATGGAAGTTACTAATCTACCTTACTAAATGCCAACAAATCAATGGACTCCGATGTTTTAGAATTTTTTGATGGCCATGTTGATACAGTTAAAAAATATGAGTTGCTGGTCTCTCGTTAAGAAAGTCCTGCTGTAAGAACTTTTTTCGTAAGTTTTATAAACAGTTTAAATTCATTTTGTAAACGAATGATTATGTAGCAGAAGGTATTTATCTTTGCAATAATAAAGAGGTTTAATAACTAAATGTTTATTTTTTTTATTTTAGATGCATTTTAGCTTAATTTAGTTACATTTGCTAAAAAAATATTGGTGAAACAGAGCTGGTAAAAACCACTGCATATGTTATATCGCGACGTTACTAATTTTTTAATGTCAAAAATAAACATGGATGGTACATGAAATTTAGTAAACATCTATTCAGAAAATCCTCTATATGTAAAGTTGTTCTGTATAATTCCAATTTTGATTTATGAATATACATTTAAAATGCTAATTATTTTGCCCTAGTTTTTTGCGGTTACAAATCAGGTTACGAAATCAGACAATCAGAATGCGAATGTAGAAGATGATGTTGCACAAACAAGTGCATGATGAACAAGTGGTAGACGTTATTTTAGAAAGATTTTTGATAATACTTAAACAAGAGAAAACAGTGATCCAAAACATTTCTTTATGAGTTTATTAATTTTATTTGTAATCTTTGACTTCATCTTAATGAAAAATTTTATTTTCTGCTAATGAGATTAAATTTAAAAAATATTTGATAGAAATTGTTACTATAAAGGTTTCACTGCAAAAAGCTTTTATTTTTTTTAATTATCGAAACATAAACAAGTGTAGTGCGCAAACATTTTTTCTCTAAACCCCCACTATATGAAAACGTTTTATATAAGTTTATAACTTTATGTATAGTTTTATAAAATAGAAGTATAGCATTAGTAGTATAGTGTAAGAGTTTAAAAACATATTGTAATTGTTATAAAAAATATAAAAAATAAAACCAGATCTTTTATAACTACATCTTATTTATAAATTTCAAAACCTATATAACTCTTATTACTTATATAAAGTTAAAAAGTTATAAAGTTTTGAGACTATTTATCCAAATTTTGGTTCATTTTTCATATAAATCAATTGTCACTCATAAATTGTTTCCTTCTTTCAAATAACCATCTTATTGTACGTATATTTAGAGTTAAAGTGTAAACTATAAGCTGCATACTGACATTTACTTTTTGTGATATTTTAATCCGTTAATTAATGACCACCGTTAGACAACTCTTGAAATTACTCAAGTTTTCAACTGCATTCTAATATATAGGATGCAACTAACATATATAGTTATATCGCATCTAAAACTCTTTTTTGTGTTTTTCGAAATAAAATACTCTCTAATCCAAATATCGTCACATAAGCATGAAAGTTTTAATTTTCAAGTCGGCTTTTATAACTTTCAAGTTAAATGGTTTGCGGATGCAAAAGATTAAATTATTTGACGGTATAATGTTCTTTTCTTCTACAGGTTTAGAATTCATTTAAGTTAGTAATACTATTTTTTTTTTTTACTCAGGAGTAATATGGTTTTCTGGTTTCTTTTTTTATTTCCTTGTAGACTCGAGTTTGGTACGCATTTTATTTCAATTTTGTATAAGTCTTAGGTATCATTGAAACAAGTCTCGTACAAGTCGTCACAAAATCACTAACTACCCCACCCCCAACCCATGTAAAGCGTGACGTAATTTACGGACGATCTCTAATAAAATAATAACAAAGATTAACAAGTTGTTTATAACAACAAACAACTTAAAGTAAATTAACAACTATATTAATGGTAGAAAATAATAATAAAGACAAATAATAAACTTAAAAATATATAGCAGTTATAAACAGATAATATATAAACAATGATGGTTTTAACTCTTTCGCACCGAAACGGGTCATTAACGACTCTGTAGTAATAAAAAAATGATTAAAAGTTTTTTAATCAGAGCCATTAATCAAAACTTCTTGATTTTATACTTTAAAGGATAACTTTATGCTCAGCTTCAAAATTAGCCGTAATTAACAGCTTCGTAATAGCAATAAGGGGTCCATAAATTACGTCATGCTTAAGAATGTTAGTGGTTTATTGACAACTTATACGTAACTTGTTACTAAAGTGTTACGATGTGGTAACAAGGAGAGGGAAGGGGTCAATTAGTTGAAAATTTAGTGACGTTGTTTGTAAACGACCCCTAAGATGATAAAAGTTTTTTTAGAGAGTTTGATTTTGATTAAAATTTTTTTTTTTGCAAAATTCACGTGGTTATAATGTCCGCTATCACTGATATTTTAACTCTTTTTTTAAAGATTTATGTCTATGAGTTAATCCTTTAAAAAATACATAGTTTTGGGGTGCAAGTTTGATGCTTTTTAAGGTACAAAACTGTTTTTTGTGGTTTTATATTTAGTTAAATTTTTGTGGTTTTGGCTAATTTGTTGATAATTTTTAATATCTTAAAGATTTTGAGGATTCTATTTTGATCTATTTTCTTTACAGAATGCACCACTAGTAGTTTTATCTATTTTCTTTACAGAATGCACCACTAGTAGTTTTATCTATTTTCTTTACAGAATGCACCACTAGTAGTTTTATCTGTTTTCTTTACAGAATGCACCACTAGTAGTTTTATCTGTTTTCTTTACAGAATGCACCACTAGTAGTTTTATCTGTTTTCTTTACAGAATGCACCACTAGTAGTTTTATCTGTTTTCTTTACAGAATGCACCACTAGTAGTTTTATCTGTTTTCTTTACAGAATGCACCACTAGTAGTTTTATCTGTTTTCTTTACAGAATGCACCACTAGTAGTTTTATCTGTTTTCTTTACAGAATGCACCACTAGTAGTTTTATCTGTTTTCTTTACAGAATGCACCACTAGTAGTTTTATCTGTTTTCTTTACAGAATGCACCACTAGTAGTTTTGATAAGTATTATATTAACTTTTTTCTAGGCATAAAAAGCCAGAATTATTTTTTACAAAAAAAAAACAAAAAAAAACAAACAAAAAAAAAAAACAAAAGTCGCGTGATATTTGTATCCGCCATCATTAGTATTTAATTTTTTTTAACAAAAAGAGTTACTGTTTATTTATCTTTTTGAAAATATATAGTTATGGGGTGTAAATATAAATCCGTTTATCCCTAATATATCATTTTCAGTATAGTATGTATATTTTCACTGTTTACAAATATTATATATAGATGCGAAAGAGTTATTTATTTTAAGGTTTTTACTGCAAATTCATTGGTTATACAAATCCTCTAATTATATTAACTAATAATAAATCAGAGTATTGATACAACTTACAGGAATTTTTAATAACTATTGCATTAAAAACCATAAAATAGATATTAATCAGCTTAAATTACATCATTGTAAATAATAATTAAAAAAACTACTCTAGATGGCATCATGTAAGACAATCGCGCTGTATTAACTATAGACAATTTGCATTCAAGGTGAGTTTTTATGCTGTACACAAGCAATATTAAGATAATAATAATAAAAAAAAATAAATTCAGTTGAGTAGGAAAATTAGAGAGTATTTTATTCTACTAGAACATAAATTCGTGTAAACTTACCTTTAGTCGCATCAAAAAAAGTAAACAGTGAATAATACTTGTTTTAGCGAAATTATTTAAAAAAAAAACCTCAGTAGTAAGAAAATTTAATAAATCTCAGATTTTGTAGAGGAATAATAATAAAATAGAGGAATAATAATTAAACAAATAAGAAAAAGCAATTAGCTCGACTTTTTTTTATTTTAATAATTTAAATGATTATACTATAAGGTTTTTGGTTAAAAACAACATAAAGCAGTTTTTAAAAGAATCCGAAAAATTGTTTTTTAAAAATTCCTAAAACTAAAATGAATATATAAATCAATCTTCTTCAAAACCTGCAATGCTTTCTATTAATTGTTTAACCATTAATGTAACTTCATTGTCATCCATAAACTCTGAAGAAACAATCGCGTTAGCAATGGCTATAGTATCAATGATTCCTTTAGAATGAATCCAGATTCTACCATTCAATCCAACAACTATCTCAAACGGAAAATTTTTTCCTAACAAACTCAGAACTTTGCACATAGGAAGTTGCAGCAACTTTCTACTCAGACCTAATGAGACTGTGAACATATATCCGTCATTAAGCGGCCCCAGGTTATTACTTTTATTATTTTCATCTATACAAGATATCTCTGGTTCCATATCTTTATTTGCTACAATCAATTTAGCAAAAACAAGGTCATTTATTTTTAAATTTGGTTTGTTGCGCTTTGTTGCTCCTTCAAATAACAAATTATTTAAATATGCAGGCTGAGATGAACCTATATCAACTTTGTAACTGTCAGCTCCACGAGTTGTTATAATTCCTATAACAGTGTCACCTTTAACTGCAACATAACGCTTTTGATTAGTGTCAATCCAAATGAATAAAGGTTTTTTCTTCATTCTTAGAATGCCGGCTTTAAATGCAACAACATCCTGTCCTTCTTGACGAAGACCAGGACCAAATTTTAAAAAACCCTCTGTTGAGGATAAGCAAGATATTGGTAAAATAGTATCTCCTGGTAAAAAAACTGTATCAATTTTTTTTTTAAGAATGTCCATTATTTCCATGAAGCAGGAAAGTAATCACAATAAAAATAAGCAAACTATTTCTAAGAAATGAAGCAAACATTATTTCTAAGAAATGAAGCATTAAATTTAAAATAAACATTACATAATCATCGACATTATAAAATAACAATTACATTAAATCAAGTAATCAATTTAACATTTTTAACATAGTAAGATGTAAATTCAAAATATAATAACAAATGTAGTACTAACATGAATAAATGTGGGTATAACTGCATGTATTATTATTTTCGAATTTGATTTCAGAAATATATTAACAATTTTTAAAATTTTATGAACTTAAAAGAATTTTTTTTCTTCTAAATTCTGAGAAATTTAAAAAATAACTCTTTTTTGAACAAAAATGCTTTGCTACAAAAAGTTATGAAAAAAAATTGAAAAAGCACAAAAGAAAGCTGCTTATTACAACGTAACTACAACTATCTACTACTATCAACACTATCGACTAATTATTCTGATTAAATTAAAAAGAATTATTTTTTTTTATATTAAAACTAATAAAATATATAATATAAATTTAAAAAAAGTGTTTATACATATTTACTCAATCAAATTTAACAGAAATATTTAAAATCCAACAACGTTTGAAAGTTAATTTATTATTTAACATTTTAATTATTATTCTAATAACATTATGCAATATTAATTATAAATTATGCAATATTAATAAAATGAAAAATCTACTTAAATATTTATTACCAACATAAGAAAAAAAGACATTAAAAAGTCTATAAAACATTTATTTAATCTTATAATTAAATACAGAAAAATTTTCATTAACACAAAACATCTTGCAAACAAGAAACAGAAAAATAAATAATAAAAAGTGAAAATATCTAAACATAAAAAATTATTAATATAAAATTTGAAACTTATAATTTAACATTGTAATAAATTTGAATTCAAAACATAAGAAAATGATAATTTTAGAGTTCAAATTAAAAATTTTCCACAACTATGTTAACTGTGTTTCGTAACGAATTTCTCATAAAATTCTCATGAAAAAATTACAAAACAGTTTTGATGAAACGATTCGTAGATTCATTTGACTTTCTAAAGTAGCTGCAAAAAATCGAGATTAAAATTATTCCACTGTTGAAAATCTAAATATAATAATGCTACATACCTCGTGTACTAAATCACACTCTCAAACATTATTTAAGCTAAAGTCTCGTAATGTTATTAATAGTTATACAATTATGTTTGATAAAAAATATAAAAAACCCCAAAAAAAATTACTAAGGTTACTTTATGGCATTAAAGACTATATATCTGTGTAAAACTACATATCTGTAATCAAAAGAATTACACAAAACCTTTTTCAAATGTTATCTAGTTTATCATGTTTTTAAAATAACAAAAACAAAACAACCGATTTGGTTTATTTTTTGGATAAACACGCCAAGTAGAAAATTTACAAATTTTCAAAAAATCTATATATGAACCCTTTAAAATTCACAATTATAAAACCTATAATACTGTTGTTCGATCTCTATTTTTCATAATCTAAAGAAGTACAACAAGGTTAAACAATACACACATACATGCTATGTATATACATAAAATTAAATATTAATTTACTGAGAAACAAAAAACTGCAAAAAAAAAAGTAAAAAAGCTAAAATCATATAACTTTACATACCATACATAAATACCATTTTACATAAATGGTGAATTATTTGTAAAGTTGTTCTGCGACAGGGTTGGTCTTTGATTTAACATGTTACCTTGCATAAGCATTGGTGATTGTGGGTATTGGACGACTGGATAACCATACATTGGCTTAAATAAAAAAATAAAAAACATTTTATACACAAAAAGATGTTTGAGAAATTGTTTATCAAAATTTTATATTATGCTGCATTTCAAAATATAAATTAATTTATATTATACTTTTTATATTAATTTATATTGTAAATTATTTTTATATTAATTAACTTTTTGAATTCAACAATTTAACGAATTTACAACATTTTTTTAAAAGAAGAACTATGATAATTACTTTAAAGTAATCTAGCTTTAGTTTGTTCCCACAAATAATATTACAGAACACCCAGCGGAAATAATTTATTAAAAAATGGCAACTGATTGTAATAAGCTCAACAATTTTTACAAGCTAGTTGTCACTTAGTTTGTTTTTCACTTTACTTTGCTCAACAACAATTTACTTTGCTCAACACACACTCTACTTCGTTTTTCACGACCCTAAAACCTATTTACTTAATTAAACATTTAATTCACTCAAACATGTAATATTTGAGTTTTGAGAATTAAATTAATAATACACTTTTTTAGCTTAATAAGGAATATTAACTGTAACCCAATATAATTAGTGTTACATTTAATTAATATTATAAAATTGTATATACTATAAATCTATTTTTTAAATATTTTTCTTAAAAGAAAAACAATATACATAGATACATACCGTATGTATGTATGTTTCATTCATACACACACACATACATAAAAACATACATGCATACGTACATTCATACACACAAACATACAAACATACATGCATACGTACGTACATACATACATGCATACATACATACATACATACATACATACATACATACATACATACATACATACATACATACACACGGTATGTATTTATGTATATAGTTTTTCTTTTTAGAAAAATACTTTTAAAATAGATTTATAGTATAAAAAACTTTATAAAAATTATTTAACTGTAATTTCACAACTAAGCACTGACATTTTAAAGCTTTTTACTATGAAAAAGTATCCCTTTATTCCTGGGAAAAAAGTTAGAAAAAAAATTACTTGCGGTTGCATTCCAAAATTTTGTGGCATTGGAGATCTATACTGCATCATATAACCAGGATTTTGCATTAAATTTGGAGATATTCCATAAGCAGCTGAAGGTGGGAGTGTGGATCGTGCAACAGAATTCATTTGAAAGTTGGAGCCTCCTGTTTTTGTTGTATTTTGTTGAGCTTTCCATTGATGACCTTTACTTGTGTTAGCCTTCATTGTGTTAGGATTAACATTTAGACCGTCTGATAATAAAAAAAAATATCAACTTGATAATAATATATTGCGTAAAAAAAAAAGCAACAGCTTTAAAAATTAGTTAGGCAAGCATATTTAGCTGATGTTCAGTGAGCATAAAATTTTTTTAAAAATAATTAAAAAATTAGTAAAGAATCATTTTTTATAACAATATTTGATGGTTGAGTAAATTATAAATTTTCATCAACTGTAAAAGACATCAGTACATAGACTTGAAACATACTTTTTTTTTATCTGTAATTATCAAACAAGTTTTTTCTTATGTGTATTTAAGTTTTACATCTTATACTTTTGTGTTTTCATGGTATATGCAGTTATATCTTATGTGTTTATATAAATAATTTCAAAATATTTATGTAATTTTAAAATTATGCTTTTCTTAGATTAAAATTAAAATTACAAGGCATCAGCCGATAGGCTTAAGGCATGTTTTTACTTTATTGTTTTTTTATACATTATATTTTTTGCCTTACAATACGTTTTTTTAAAAAGTGAATTTTTAAAAGAAAATTGGTGGAATGTCTTTTATCTGATGAAACAAATAAATGAAATAGAATCAAACTAAGTAAATCCAAAAGAATTAATTAAAAAAAAAGTACCAATACATCAAATGTCAACAGACTTGCGTTAAAATCCACACCTAATGTTCCATAATACTGGTAAGCAATGGATCCAATCGGAACTCCGTCTTGTCAGATTTTTCTCGGAGTTTGAGAGAAATTGAGAAACTTTGATGGAACTCCGACAAAGTTTTTAGAAAAATTTTTTTTACTGGTAAAATAATAAAATTCTTCTTTCTACTGCGGCTTTTACAATAATTCTAAGTTGTTGTTTTAAAATAATTCTAAGTTTCTGTTTTACAATTATTCTAAGTTATTGTTTTTAAAAAAGAAAGTGCTATCTTTAGAAAAAAAATTTTTAATGGCAGCCTAATGCGACGTCACAGTTGGCAGAAAATATTATAATTTAATTTACAAACAAAAATAAAAATATTAAGTTAATTAAGTTCTTGAAATAATTATTGTTTTAATATGAAGTTCTAAAAGAAACAAAATTTATAGACCTTTACACGACAAAGGACTGCTGCTCGGCAACTGTACAAGATAGAACAGTGTTTTTGAGATGATAAAAAGATTTTTAGATCTTTAGATTAGTTTTTTTTTTTTTTTTTTTTTTTTTTACAGCTTAAAAAAAAAACACTCTAGAAATTAAGCTGCCTAAACATATTAAATGACATTGACTTGGATTTGTAAAAATCACTATCTAGTTTATTGGAAGTCATTGCTGCTGCTGCAGTTTGCTTAGAAAAACAAATTACCACAATTTTGGAGACTGACATTATTATGGAAATGTTAGTTAGCAAATTGAAGATCGTAGAAACTGACATCAGTTCTAAATTTTCGGAGGGGCTATTCTCCGGATACGAAAATCGTAAAAATATGTTGGTATCCAATTTTTTTTTATAAAAACTGCAATTTTTCATGTTTCGAAAAAGATATTCAAGTTTCTGCTACAAAATTATTTGATCAAATATTTGAAACAAAAGTAAATAGTCTCCGACCAAAATTAGATGATCGCGCTAAAAGCAAACAAGGAGAACCATCACAACCAACATCCTTTTTTGATAAAATTCAAGAAGCTCTAAATCAAAATCAATCAACAGCTAAAAAGCCAAAAAAAAAGGTTTTTGAGTTTCAAATCTAGAAATACCTTTCTTTTGATTAAAGAGTGCTTTGCCAAGCATAAAGTTTCAGCTAATATATGTACACTCCGCTGCAGCTATTCCAATTTAACTTATATTTAAAGTCAGTAGATTAATGTGGATTCTGCTGTGTCTACAACTATAATCTAACAACTCATTGCTCAACTTTAAGAAGCTTAATGCAACTTTAGCTGTTGCATCAATGACATAAATTTATTTCAAGTCAACTACGTGTAATTATTGTTTAAACAATAATTTTTGATTTATTAATAAAATTTCTTTTATTTAATTCTTTAATCTTAATTGTGGTTTTTACTGGTAAAATGAATTTTAAAAAATTTTTTATCAAACTAAAAAAAAAACAAAAGAACATTGACTCGTATATACCTAATGATTGGGCAACACGCTCTAAGCCTTTATTCAGATCTCCTGTTAATCCAATTGAATTGCTTGCTGGATTTGAAGTTTTTTGAAATGTATATGTTGATTCTGGAGTTAAAATATCATCATCAAGAAGATTAGGTTGACTAGTAGATTGTTGATTTTTGAAGGCACTATTTAAATCGAAAGCATTGAATCCAACATTGAAATTAGAATCTAAACAAGTTTTATTTTATTAAAATAAATTGCTTAAATAATATAAAAATAATATAAAAACAGGTAATTTATGCAAATATAAATACAAGCACATTTATTAATTTTCTATGAATTCCATACACTAACTAATGCATAATTTTAATTTATAATAAGACTTTTAAAATAATGTTTTTTTAGGTGTATATATTTTTTTAAATATAATTTAAAAAAATAGTTAAATCTATTTTTATTTTCATTACTTTTGGAAGATCAACAAAATATAGTTTCATGTTAGGTGTCTTAATTAGTAATACTCTGAGAGGGAAAATTAGATTTAGTAGTGCAAATCACTTAACAAATATAGTTTCATGTTAGGTGTCTTAATTAGTAATACTCTGAGAGGGAAAATTAGATTTAGTAGTGCAAATCACTTAACAAATATAGTTTCATGTTAGGTGTCTTAATTAGTAATACTCTGAGAGGGAAAATTAGATTTAGTAGTGCAAATCACATAACAAATATAGTTTCATGTTAGGTGTCTTAATTAGTAATACTCTGAGAGGGAAAATTAGATTTAGTAGTGCAAATCACATAACAAATATAGTTTCATGTTAGGTGTCTTAATTAGTAATACTCTGAGAGGGAAAATTAGATTTAGTAGTGCAAATCACATAACAAAAATATGAACAAATAATTAAACTTGAAAAATATAATTCTTAATTCTGTTCTTAGTTTCTATTCATTAAAATTGTTTTTCTTAATGACTTTCAACAAGACAAAAAAAACCTTCAATAAATCTTTCAGAGCAGGCTCTGAAAGATTTTTCATCATTTCACTCATTTTTTCTCACTATTTTTTCACCATTTTGTCTCTAACTAATTTTTAGAATTTTTTTTTGTCCAAAAATAATTACGTATTCATATAAACTAAACTAAAAACAAGAATATTGAAGAAAGTATTGTTTATAAGTAAAATAATGTTTGAATGCAAAGAATTGTTTACTTTTAAAAATTTAATTAACTTAAGCCTTTTTATATGATACTTTTGATGTTTGCTTCTAATAAATACAAGTATTAAATAATATAAAACATCTTTATTTTATTCCAAAAAAATTGTTTTGATTGTTAAAAAATCCTAAAATTTGCTCCAAATTCTAAAAGCTGCTACAACATTCACTTAAAATCTGCACAACATTTGCATAAAATTAATATATACATTTCACATATATTTTTCAGAAAATTCACAAATACAACATTTACACAAAATCTGTACAACATTAACACAAATGTGAGATCATTCCATTAAAAAGAATACAAGATAACAAATATACAGAAAAATATATACTCCTATTCTATGAAGTTAACGCTATTTTAAAAATATTACAGCATCTGCATGATATTTTGCTGACCACAACATATTTCTATTAAATAGTCTCTTGAATTATGATGAGACAAAAAAAATTAAAATTTTAAACTTTTGACGTAACATAAAATAAAATATTTGAGACTATACAAACAAGGCTGAAGATTCTTTTTCCTTTTTTTAATGTTCTAAAAATCACGATTATTTGTCTAGATTTGAATAAAATTTTAATAAAAAAAGTTTTTTAGGTGAAATGAACATCATAGTTTAATAATATGATCTATTTTGATCGTTTATTGGCAGTTTTTCTTAATAATACGCTTTTTATTGGTCAGAATTTATAAATTTTTTGTGAAAATTGATAGAAATTTTGTATTATAACAACTATATTTAATATGCGATTTTAAACTAATATTAAATTAACACTGTTGATCAAAATAAGAACATCATTTAGAAAAAAGAACATCATTTACTCAAAGACTAAATGATGTTCTTGAGGTTCACTATTAGGGGCAGTAAAAATGTTTTGAAAATTATATAAAAAAGAAAAAGTTTCTTCAAACATAAACCCCTGAAGCAAAAAAAATATAACATCTAAAGCTCTTGTTTGGACATAATACACTGATAAATTATGCTAATTCCAAATAAAAGAATTCAAATAATTTAAAATCAATGTAACTACACCGAGTAGTGGATACATACAAAGACATTTTATTTTATTTTTGTAAACAACTTTTTTTTCACTCTTTTCATATATCCTTATCTTTTTTTAAATATTTTTATTTATACATTTAAATTTAATATTTTGCTATAAAAATACATTTTTAAAATGTATTTTTCTTATTTTTTATTGAATTATTAAATATTATTATTAATTACAAGGTTGCAAGCAAATTAAGTTATGAGTTACTAGTAAACAGAGGATAACGAAACTAATAACTAATCATAAGAGAGTTGGAGATGTCAGAGTGTTTTCTATATTTTTTAAAAATTGAAATCACTTATTTAACGCTTATTAATAGCTACGCCAGAATTGAAGAGAGTTCTAGAGTACACTTCTGTATGACTATGATGGTAATGATGTCTGCACCAAAAGCCATAGAAGAGTTTAATTGAGAACTGACTTGAGCATTGGAAGCCATCTATTAACCTATTTAACTGAAATGGCAGGAAGAATAAAGCATTTAGATTCAATAGTCAAATTAGAGTAAAATTTAGTTGCAAATAGCTCTGCCTTATTCTGGGGAGAAATAATAAAATCAGACCCATGAATTAGAGATGAAGTGCTAGACTTACTTTAGTTAATGACATTTTTGAAGATTTTCCAGAAGCCTCTAGAACTTAACATCTGAGATGAGATGAAAATGCTCAAAAATATAAAAGAAAATGCTCGAAATTGTTTATATTAGAGAAACAGGATAAAAAGTATAAGCTAAAGTTTGATGATGATAATGATTATGTTGATCATGTTTGTAAATAAATATACATGCATCTATAAATAAAATATAACATGAATTAAAAAATTTACTTTGAATGTATCAATCTTTATGCAGCCCTGGTCACAAACCCAGCCCCAGCTATTTTTTATCAAACCCAGCTGTGACCTGGTCAAATTTCAACTCTGGTCACTTCAATGCATTTACCTTTCATTTTTCCTAAAAATTGTTAGTAGTGACAGTCTTTTAAAAAATTATAGAGACAAAACAATAATGGGTTCATAAAAATATTCCATTAATGTTTTTTCATAAACATGTTTTTGTAAGTGAAACAATAGGTGCATATATATATATATATATATATATATATATATATATATATATATATATATATATATATATATATATCAATTGTTTTAATTCATATGAACGTGTATTTTAATTTTTCAAAAAAGGAAAAAAACAAAGAATAATGAAAAAAAAAAAGATTGCTGCCCATCGCCACACCCTCAGTAGCAGTACTCCTTTGCAGCAGCAGACTATAAGATATATGTATAGAAGCTCCTGCAACTCTGTTTTTGCATGTCATCATCTGTGTGCATCTAAGACTGCCTTTCTATATACAGTTGACTCTCGGTTATTTGAATTTTCTAGGGGAATAAGAATTTACTTTGAATAACCGAAAACCCTCTTTAAAGTGACTGATTTAAAGTTACAATCAGTTTTTTCACTATTGCGCCACGTCTCTTAAATTTCAAATTTTAACAAAAATAGAAAGTAAAATAATAGGAAAATTGAATAACATGTTGCTTAAGTCTTTTACTTGTAATATAATAAATTCTTTACAAATTTTGAAAAAGTTATCCATTTTCCATAACTTTTTTTGTTTTTTAAAAAAAATAAAAAGGTTATGGACACCTCTCAACATGCAATAAAAAACCAATGTTCAATGTTCTAATGATTCCCTGGTCCTATGGTTGAGTTTTACAGGTTGTATTAGGTAGTAAAAATATTAATTCAATTACAATGAGGTTGTCAAAATTAGGATGAGCTCCTCCTGAACATCGTTCACATTTTAGATAAAAGGTTTTTGTCAGTAGCTGTTGATAAAATAAATTAAACTCAACAGCGTTGTAAATAACCCTCAATTCATACATTGAGAGAATAGTGGGCAAATGGGTATGCTCCCAACTGGCTGCCATTTTTCTGTCCACGACCATTCCTTGCCACAAATAGTTTGGAAAACGATATTGTGTCTATTTTTCCAACAATCTAGACACCCTTTTGAGGCCTTAAAATCAGTTATGTTGAGTTTTTTTGTAAAATCTAAAGCTTCCTACCTAATAACAAGTTCACTAATTGGTACATTTTGTTCGCGTGCGTTCATAAACCATTTATATACAATTTTATTAACGGAATCATGCTTTCCAAAACCTAAGTTTTGTCTCCTTGCTCTAAATGAACAAGACTCTTAATGATTATGTCTTCTTTATGGCTAATCCAGTAAGTTGAAGTGTTTTGAATAACACTAAACTTTTTAGCTATATTCTTTTGAGTTTTACTTTTTTCCAAATCTGCAAGAAATTTATAGAAATTATATATATATATATATATATATATATATATATATATATATATATATATATATATATATATATATATATATATATATATATATATATATATATATATATATCAAAAAACCCAAAAGCAAGATTTTTATTGTTGGTTGTCAGTACTGCATTTTTTCGTGTAAAGCACTGTGTTGAAATTTACACTGCACTAAATTTAATGTGTTCACTTTATTTTGAAATGTAACACAATGGTATCTTGAGCCAAAGGAAAAATTTCAAATAACTGACAGGGTGTTTCTCAAAGGGAGCAAAAAATTGCTTCAAATAAACAAAATTTCGAACAACTGCAGGTTTCAATAACTTGTTGCATGAGTTTGTTAAGGAAAATTTACAGGGAATAAAAATTGCTTCAAATAAGCGCAAAATTCAAACAAGTACCAGTTCGAACAAACAGGAGTTTACTGTATGTATGTGTGTATACATATATATATATATATATATATATATATATATATGAATATATATATATATATATATATATATATATATATATATATATATATATATATATATATATATATATATATATATATATATATATGTATGTATAAATATATATATGTATAAATAATATTAATTTTAAACAATT